GTCAAGACTAAGTTTATTTTGTGGGCTGTAATATAATTTCCATAGCCAGCTTAGGATGCTTGTGGAGTATTTAATATAGGTCTCTTCATATACTATCTGCATTGCACACACTATGCTTTTGACATTGGGACTCTACTGTATGTGTGAGATTTGGGATAGCAGTCACATGTTAGTAGGGTGGTTTTGAACATGAATTGACCATTTTAATTAGACCTAAACTCGATATTATCCATGCATGAATAAATATATGTTGGCTCAATATCTTAATGCTACTTTTCGGAGCCTACTTGACTCGAGTGATTAGCCTGTGGGGTTTCTCATAACTTGGTGTCTATGGTCAGCTGAATTAAACTTTGGATAACGTCTTCAATTGCTAACTAAACTTTGCAAAACGTCTTTTAATACTCGTTGAATTTTGAGATTGTCAAATTTTGGCTACTAAACTTTGAGATAGTTGAATTTTGGCTACTAAACTTTGAGATAGTCAAGTTTTTGTCACAAACTTTGAAAAACGTTATCTATGGCTCACAATTAGGGGTAGGCAAAACCCGACTGAACCCGCCAAAACCGCCAAACCCGAACCCATTTAATCAGTTTGGGTTGATTTTTTTGTTGTTTTTACACGAGTTGGATGAGTTGGCCGTGTAGGCGTGCTAGGTTGGATTGGGTCGGGTTATGACTTATGAGTTAACTCATGAAAATCGAATAAACCTGCCCCCCGACCCACCTACTTAAAAAGAAAAGAAAAAGAAAAAAAATAAAATGTCTAAAAAGTAAAAGGAACCTAAAACGTATGAGTGGATAGTGTAACTCTAATTAGTTTGGTGCATTTTAGAGGAGGAGTTTACTCACCTTCCCACGAGAAATATAGTATAACTTTTTCATATTATGTTAAATGCATTTTGTTATTTGTAGGTTCGGCTAATGAGAATTGAATAAAATAATAGATAATTTTATTTACTTATTATTTAATATTGTCTATTCGAATTTAGTATAACAGACAATGGAATGACTTTAATTTTAGTTAATAAGTTGTCACAAACCGACCAACTCAACTCAACCCTGCTGATACTTGATTGGGTTGGGTTTCAACCTTTACGCGAATTGTGTTGGGTTAAATTTTGATCAAACCATTCATGTTGTGTTGGGTTTGAGTTGAGTTGAGGCAAAAACCGACTCGACCCGACCTAACCCATGCTCACCCCTATTCACAATAAACTTGGATTTAATTAAAATTCGTAGTTAAAATTTGGATTTAATTTTATTTTACAACAAATTCATTGTGTGTTTTGTTGTAAAAAGCAAATAGTATGATTAAAATTATACAAAAATAAATTAAAATTTAATTTGACTACAATGTATTGAGTAGTCATTTCTCGTGAAATAGACAATTCTTGTAAAATTGTGCAAAGGAAGTGACTACTAATTGCAATAAAGCAGCCAATATATTTATTGTAAAATTAAATTAAATTCGAATTTTAACAATTAATTTTACCCCATGTTTGATGGCCATTATTTTTTAAAAAATGGAGTTTTAAATAGTTATTTTTTGAGAACGTCAGGTTTAAAAGTTGGAAAAAAATTTCAGTTTACGTGTAAAATATTTTATTATATAAATGTGTGGTTAAAAATGAGTATGACAATTGAAGAGTTTAGTTTTAAAGGGAGATAAATAGAAGCATAATTAAATCCAAATTTATAGCCTCTTTATATTCTTCAAAAAGTTTTTTTAGTTGTCAAAGTTCGACTATTTTAAAGTTCGGTAGCTAAAATTCAACCACCTCAAAGTTCAAAGAAATAAAAGATAATTTTCAAATTTTAGTGGCCAAAATTTGACAATCTCAAAGTTAACGGGACAAGACATGTACATTTCGTCAACCACGTCACCAATTCTGTTAAAAGTTTGAGACAAAAGTTATGTCAGTGAGTAACGTAAAACGTTTTCCAAAGTTCATTGGTCAAAAGTCGACATTTTAAATTTCAGTAAGCAATCGAAAATATAGACATAAGTAGGAATGGGCCAAAAAACCGCAGTCCGCTAGATCGAACCGAACCGACCCGACCCGACCTGTGTTGGGTGTCGGGGTCATGTCGGTTTTAAAATTATTTTGGGTCGGGTGAAACAATTTTAAAATGAATATGGGTCGGGTCGGTTTCTTCAAACCTTTTCAAATCGATCAACCCTATTTAGAGAGTTCGAAACTTCCGAACTTGTGGCGCACTCCATCTTCTCCTCGCCCAGATCTGACTCCAAGAACATCCTTTCGCTCTCTCTATGGTAAGTCCAGGTGGTAATTATCGTAACCAACCTGAAAATTAAGAGATCAGCTGCTGAAAATTTAGTCAGTTTGGTTTTTGATTGCACCAAATGGCCCTTTGCAACTTGGAGTTGATAGTTGTGAAGAAAAATTCGAGAAAAAGGTGTTTCGGTGCTACAAAAATTTCATATTTTGGCAAGAGTTTTGGTTGAATTAAGGTTTATTCATTTAGCTATATTTTGCCCCAAAAAAAAAAAAAAAGGCATTCCGAGAAAACCGTATACAGCAAAGTAAAGCAAAGTGAAATTTGACATTTGGATGGATGACTTCCAATTTTGTGTGTGAATGTATCTCTACGAATTTTTCTAGTAAGCGCTTTAAGGAAGCAAGGCAAGTTCTTTTTCACATCTGTAACTATATGTAATTAATATTCTTGGAACTGCCCATTCATTATACCAGTAAATAGTATGAATAAAACAGATGTTTGAAATCTGTTCTTGGACAAAACGAATAAAATTAAGATCCTGTTATGTGGAAGTAAGCTAAGATTCTTGTAAATCTTTGTTCTGGTTTTAGGGACAAATGC